ACGGAACGAAATTTCGCTTTATATCTGAAATAACATTACTCATTTGATTGCGAATAACATATTTTGATATGTTCTTTCATTTCGATTCCAGTATAAATCTATTTTCATTAAACAAATAGAATACTTGGTTTTCTTTCTTTATGCTAATAGAACAATTTTTTAATGTAATATAATGTATATATATATATAAGTCGACTCTTGTCTGCTACATAAAGCGTCTATTGAAAATCATATTTTTTATTTTGATCACTTCTAATTAAAGTATTTTGATCGTTTGTTTTTATAGATTACAGAACCTTTGTTTTTATTTTAAACATACTAAGAACATTGACATTTCCTATTGTAAAAAGTTCATTTCTTCACCTGACATTCGTCAGTTAGACCGCCGTTTTCTTCTCTTGAACCGAACAGAACGCAAAGAAAGAAAAGAGAAAAAAAAACAGATCGTAACACTGCTTAGGGTTTTTTTCCTTTCTTGTCTTTCTCCTTTCTTGCGCTTTCATTTTCTTATTCTGTTGTGTTCGTGTATTTATCATTATCGTTCTCCATATTTATTCATTACATATTTGCCTCTCTATTGGTGTTTCTATACAAATCCCCTATTATAGCATATTCCCGCCGACGGAGCACGCCAGTGTCCACTCACTAGTTCTAATTTACTATTCGTTGTTTTACTCAAATAACAACAACGAGGTGAGATGTAAGTCGAATATGGTCGTCATTTTAATTTACCAATAAGAATAATAATAATAAACAAAAATCTTCTATTTCTTTTAGGTCACATTTTAATAATCATGAACCATTATGTATTGTACATGGTTGTCCAAATGGTTTACAATCAAATTCTTCAATACAATATTTTGCTGTACCTGTTCATATTGCAAATATTGCTGCAGCTTGGTACAAAAATACAATGCGTACAGATTTACGTCCATCACATATACATCGTGTATGTGAACAACATTTTGAAGAATCATGTTTTGATTATGTTGGTAATGGTACAAAAGTTCTTAAACCAAAATCATTACCAACATTATTTGATTTGGAAGTTTTTTATAAAATGATATCATTTCAAGATAAATTACAAGAAACAAATAAAACAAATAAAAAAACAAATATTACATTTCATACAAGTAATCCTGAAATTGATGGAAGAACATTAGAACCAATATTAAAATTAGAAAGTGGTCATGTTAAAACACGTTTAGCACCTACAATGACAGGAAATTTATTTCAACAAGAACAAATTGAAAAAAATCAATCATCATTTATTATTAATAAAACAACACAAAATCAGCATGAAAATGTAAAAAGATTATAAAAGAAAAAAACTAAAATTTTTTTAATTATTTTTTTAATGTTATGATTTTAGTTTGAAAATAAAGCATCAAATCGTTGTCATGTTGATGGTTGTATACATAATTATGTTGCACGTCGTCATCGTGTACAATTATATAAAATTCCACGTGATCCAACTGTTGCTCGTCAATGGCTTGATGCTTGTGGTTTTGAACATTTATCAATTTCACCATTAACATCAACATTCAAAGTTTGTCGAGAACATTTTACACCAAATGACTTTGAAGGACCTACAACATTACGTCCAAATGCTGTACCATCATTATTTACAACCCATTCTCGATCACTTATGGATAAACAAAATTCCTCACCAACAAAACGTTTTCGATCTGATATGACAAATATACGTACAAAACAAACTATAACTAATATTAATTATAATAAACAACGAACAACACCATTATCTTATCGTAATAATATAAATAATTATCAAAAACAACAAGAACAAACAAATCAAAATCTTTCAGTATCACCAACATCTGACAATTTTGATGATAGTATTAAAGAAATAAATAATGATACAAAACAAATTAATGATATGGATTTAAATATGTTTTGTTTTGAAGAGCAATTATCGGATAGTCAAATGATACATTGTCCTGTTAAAGTACGTTTTTTGTTTATGTTTACTATAGAAGTCTTAATCATTAATCTATTTCTATCAAATAGAATTTCATAATCATTTTCTAGAATTATAAATGTTAAATTGATGTCATAAATCTATAAGAGTTGACTGAAAAAAAGATTGTACTAAACTTATCACTATATACTTGACAATCTAAAAAGAATTATATTGATAGATATTACCAAAGGCTATTCACATATGTAGCCATATAAAGACGTTGAGATTATTAAAAACGACTAGAGATACGTCACAATCATCGTTAATCGTATACAAACTGAGATTAAAAAAAAAGAGAAGATGATAGGAAATTCCGAGAGTTGTCTTTTAGTGAAATCTAAAACAATTTTCATTCGACATTAAGAATTGACTTACTTCGAAATATGAAATAGACTTATAATCT